ACCCATCCTGAAAACACATACCCCCAAACTACCTCATTTTATTCTTTTTTGTTATTTTTTTTTACATTTTTTATTGATATTTATTGAGCTCTACATTTTTTCTCTGCTCCCCTCCCTGCCTCTCCCATTCTCCCTTCAATCTTTCCCCAAGGTCCCAAGTTCCCAATTTACTCAGGAGATCTTGTCTTTTTCTACTTTCTACTTCCCATATAGATTAGATCTATGTAAGTCTCTCTTAGTGTCCTCATTGTTGTCTAAGTTCTCTGGGATTGTGGTTTGTAGGCTGGCTTTCTTTGCTTTATGCTTAAAAACCACCTATGAGTGAGTACTCTGCCCAGTTTGGTTCAATGTTTTTATTTTGTTCTGAGACAGAGTCCCACTTTGTAGCCCAGGCTAAGCTGCAACTCACAGCTCTCTTGTCCCAGCCTTCTCAGCGTCTGGATAAAGGAATGTGCCAACACCCCTGACACACTCTGGGTATCTTAGGATATTTTGACACCTTGAGAGAGCCTCCCCCTCTCCAGGTTATCTCTCTCTTGGGGAACACAAGAGCTTTTTGGGGAAGCGTGTCTATCATCTACAAACCAAACAATTCTGTGTCTGCAGACTCAATACTTTCCTTGTTAACGACGACACGTCTCTCCTTCTCCTTCCCTAGATCACCTGCAGTCAGGTACCAGGTAACTAGATACCATCAGTACACCTTCAAAGCAACCACTGAGCTATTCTAATTTGGCAATGCCTTATTCATTCTGCCCTGGCTTGCTTTCCCTCAGAAATGCCAACAAAAGCTCTCCCTCAGGTATGGCTCCCATTGTATTCTTTTCTCTTCTTTTCTTTCATCTTTTAAGAATCTAGATTAACCTGGAATTTATGGTATTCTCTAGGCTGAACTGGATTCAGGATTCTCCTAAGTGTTGGGATTAGGGGCCCCCACTGTCCCAAGCAGCTTTCTCATCTTTCTTTGTCTCATTCCTGTTTTCTGCCACTTGATCCAACCCTCCAGTGTTCTTTTGGCTCTGTCTGGCAAACAGCAACTGTCTCTCTGGTTCTGTGTCCATATAACCATCTGCTTTATGAGATGCAGTTTGGTGTCCATCTGGGCCTGTAATATCTTTATCATCTCATTTCCAACATCTACACTCTTAAGACACTGCAGGAATCAAAGAAGGGGAAGGGAAGATAGTAAGACAGAAGGTAACCCCTGTGTCTAACCTACCTTATTGAAGACTTAATGAGTAGAGAAAAGTAAACACTCTGAAGAAATCTCCTTGGTAGGGGAGATCCTAACGGTGATCAGCTTCGAATGGCCAATGCTAATGAAGGGATGTGAGCACGAGGGTTGCAGGTCCTTTTATCCAAGTGACCTAGTCCAGTACTGCCAGCAAAGCACACACCTAGGAGCAAAGAGGAGGGATTCTAATTGAGAAAGGTCATTAATGATGGGTAACATGTAACAGGTATGTCACAAGTCATCTCCTGATATTTTAAATTAAGTATTTATAAGATTAAGATATTTTAAATTAAGTATGTATAAGCCCAAGGAGTGGCTATTAGACTTTCTGATTATTCCTTACAGGTCAATTACATCGCTCACAATGCGTTCATTAGAGGTCTGTGACTGGTGGGATTTTCAATGTGGACTGAAAAGGACTGAGAAAGACAGATGTAAAATGGAATTAGCGGGTTAGTGATGTAATTGAGCTTAGAATGGTTATCTAGAATGGTCCAATTCCTGGATTCTATCCTTAACACCATAAAAATTGGGCATAGTAGTGCACTCTGCACTGGGGAGACAAAGGCAGGAAGATCAGAAGGTCGAGCTTATTCTTGGCACATGGAGAATTGATAGGCGGCTACTGGAGACGCTGGAAACATTTTAAATGAGGCTGCTCAGAGAGTATCTTGTCTCTGTTGTTAGGAAGTCACGGCTACCTGAAAAAGTCTCTAGCCATCCATGTGTCAAACGTCTGTAATTCCAGCATTTAGGAGACGAAATGAAGAAAATCTGGAGTTCAATGTCATCCTAAGTTATAGGCCTGCCTGGGCTACATTCATGAGACCCTACAACAAAAGATAAACCAACCAAAAGTCATTTCTTAAAAACGTGTGTTTGAGTGCAAGCTGCCCTTATGGCAATGCTATATTTTCATAGTTTACAATGACTGACATTCCAGCATCTGCAGAGGGCAATAGGACCTTGCTGAAGGTCTATCCAGACAGTCCGCACTGGGGGGGGGGGGGGAAGCAGCACTGATAGACAAAGTAGATGATGACATGTAGCCATTTTCATCCAGGCCAGAGGGGAGCGGTTCATCCAGCTAACCCTGCTCGAGACTTGTGACTAACAGTCACGAGACTTCATTCCCATGGAGAGCTTTATAACTTCATTCCCATGGAGAGCTTTATAATAACCAGCGCAATGCCCTTGGCTCACCGCCACCCATTCCATCAGTCCTCTCTCCCCGCTTAAGTTTTTTGAGACAGGATGCAGTTTAGCACAAGCTCGTCCCAAACAGTCTGTGCAAAATCACCAGAAACGCCTAATCCTTCTGTTTTTATCTACAAGTGCCATGATGACGGTGTGAGCCAGCACCCCAGGCTTGGCACACTTTTGGAGCCCCTGGTCTACTCCTTGGTGTTGCAAAATTGGGCCCACAAAAAAAAAAAGAAAGAAAAAACAAAACCAAAAAACTTCTCCCAATTTTTTTTTTTTTTTGGATTGTTTGTTTGCCTGCTCTTTCTTTTTATAAGTAGAACAGGCTTAGCTTAGAAGTCAAAGAAGAGCTAGCACAGTCATGGCCTGGAGCAACAAGACCTTAGTTCTCTACATTTTGAGGTACAAGCCTTTGACATGACTGTCCATTTCAGTCCCCGCTAGAAGAGCCATTTTCCCCTTGCTCACAGTTTTTTTCTCTTCCCTTGTCTCCTCTTCTTCCTCTTTCTTTTCTCTTTCAAAAAAAAAAAAAGGCTTTTTGAGAAAGGGCATGTCATAGACTTCAAGCTGGCACTAAACTGTCGTCCAAGGTGGCCTTGAGCTCCTCATTTCTTTCTTGTAAGTGCTGGGCACGCGCCACCATTTTGGGCTCCTTTCTTACGATTTCTGAGTAGGGCAAAAGGAACACAAACGGTTAATTATTATTAAATATATACTACATAAACATGTATGGACTGCTACGAAATCGAAGCCAGGACAGCATCGAGTAGATAACGCTTACTTCAGGGTACGGCAGAAGGCCAGGATGGGAGTCATGGTCAAAAAAAGAGACTAGACTTTCTTGAGGACAGCCTGGAAGGGCTGCAGGAACTGAGGCCTGACTCCATCGTTGCTTGGGGCCACCCCAAGAAAACCCTACTAGAAAGCTGGCCCCTAAATTTGGGTCAATACCGCTCCACCTAACCTCCCCCCATGCCGAGCCTGCAGCAAAACTGCCACGTGGGGGGGGGGGGCGTGCGCGTGGCTATTAGGGTAGTTCCACGCGGCAAGAGACACTTCCGGTTATGGCGTCCATCTGCGAGTACGGGTGCCGAGTAGGGCCTTATTGCCCTGGCCCGGACACTGCAGCAGATCTAGGATCTAGGAACTCAAGGAGAATGATGAGGTCAGGAGTCCTGACCTCGTTCTCAGGCTCCCTAGGTTGCTAAATCCTGAGAGAAACCTGTTGGAGAATGTATGCCCAGACCCTGCCCCTTCTCCCTACTCTTTGAACAGAAAATCCGTATCTGAGAGAAGAGGCTCTCACATGGCAGAGTAAAGGATGCCAGAAGGGAAGATGCTGAAAGATGACATCAGTACTTATCAGCTACAACCAAGTTGCTTCAAGCCAAGATAAACAAAGTATCAGAGCTCGGCCAAGAAAAGATGTGCGTTCAGTAACAGGAAGGAAAGCCGGAGATAGATATGTCGGTTTACTTAATACAACTTGAATCCTGTAATTTAGGTAACATCAGAATCTTCTTTATAAATGAAGGAGATGTTATATATGATATATAATAAAACATTAGGAAATTACTAAACCAACATCATTTGAGGACACACTGTTATAAACTGTACTTCAATAATTGCACAAATAAAATCCATCTATAAAGGGGGAATATTTGGGGATTATGGGAATATGAGCATAGTAGTAAAGCTTTCCAGGAAATCCCGGCCTTGAACTTGCAAAATATCTGAGGATGACTTTGAACTTTTGATCCTTTTGCCTCCATTTCAGAAGTTTCAAGTTCACAGGCATGTACCTCTACACCAGGTTTATGTGTTCTCCGGGGGCTGGGAATTGGACCTAGGACTCCTTGCATGCAAGGTAAGGACTCTACCAGCTGGACTACACCCCCCCCCGTCCCCTGGTTACATTTTAATTAGCAGTCTTCTGATCGCAATGATGTTGAACTGTTTTTCCTGTTTGCTTGTCATTTGTACTTCATAGTTTGAGCACCAGATGCAATCCTGTCTGTCAGTTGTTGGCGTAATGAGTGGATAGGGCCCTTTTGAAAAGTCCTAGGCAAATGCCTGGATTTTGAAGTCTTCCCTACAATATTAACCTCCTCCTATAATAGTTTCAGGGTTTAAACCATACATAGGCTTTTTTTTCCCTTTTTTTAAAAATCCATTTTGAGTTGATTTTTCATACAGGTTGAGAGATAGTGATCTACTTTCATTTTTCTACTTCTACCAGTTTTCTCAACACCATTTGTTGAAAGAGGTAGAGCTAGGAGGCTCAAGACTTCAAGATTGTCTTTGGCTACCTAGAAAACTTGTGACTAACTTGGACTACCTAAGACTGTCTAAAAATAATTATCATAAGGTAAGTAAAATCAAGACAAAACAATAAAGCCCAACCACATAATACTAATACTTCAAGATAAAAGAGCAAAGACTATGGAGAACATTGAAAACAAAGACCATATCAATATTTCTGCACCCCAAGTCAACTGCTGATGTTGAATGTCACTGGTGGTTCTACTACAAATTATGTAGTGAGTAACACACTACCACAGGCTGAGCACATTATAACAAAAAGAAATTTATTTTAGTTCACAGTTGAAGTTTAAGTTACAGGAACAACATTTGGGGCCTTTGTGCTGGCAGAGTTCCAAGGCTCCACAGCCATCATAATGGTGAGAATCGGGAACAGGAGCGAGACAGCGGAACTGGCTTTTACAGCAATCTCCTGAAAAAAAAAAAAACAAAAAAACGCATTAGTTCATTAATTGCATAAGTGGTTTAATCCATTCACAAGAGTAGGTAATTAATCTCCTCTTAAAGATCTCACCAAGTCTCATCTTTTAATCTCATAACAAGGATTAAATTTCAGCATGCATTTTATAAGGGGAAAACCATACTTCAACTATACCAATTACTTTTATTATAGAACTGACGATCACAGATGGAGCTGGATTCCAGCTGGATGCAAGCCTTTCAGAACTCACTCCCCTTACACCCTCTCAAGAGATAATTACTGTGAAGTCTGGGACTGTAGCTCAGTGTGCAGAGGGTTTGCTTAGCACGCATGAAACCCTGGGTTCAATCTTTGGCACTACATGAAATTGAGCTTGTTGGTACAGTCCTGTCATCTTGGCACTTGGGAAGTGGAGGCAGGAATATCAGAAGTTCAAAGGTCATCTTCAGCTACGTACTGAAATCTAGGGCACCCTGGGATACACTGGATCATAGACTGTCTCAGCAGGAAAAAAAAAAAGATAATCACTCTTATCGTGTATATATGTGTGCTCCCGTGTGCATGTGTGTATAGGAAAGAGAACACCTTTGGGTGCTGCTTCTCAGGCACTGTCCACCTTAGTAGTTTAAATTACACTTTGCTTGTTTGTTTATTTTGTTTGTGTGCACATGTGCATGATATGGTGCACGTGTGGAGATCAGAGAACAACTCACTGACGTCAGTTCTTTCTTCCCACTGTGTGGATCCCAGGGATTGAACGCAGGAAATCAGGCTTGGAAGCAAATACTTTGACCTGCTGAACCAGCCACACTTTACTTTATGAGTCCCTCATTGGTCTGGAACTCACCAAGTAGGCTATTCTCACTGTAAAGTCAGCCCCAGGGATCCCTTTCACCACAATGCTGAGGTTTTAAGTATGTTCCACCGTGTCCAGTTTTTGCAAATGGGTTCTGCGACATGCAAACACAGATCCTTGGCTATTGAACTTGGGTCTTTGTGCATGGAAGGCAAGAACTTCTCCAACTGAATCATCTACCTAGCCTGGGAATCACTCTAGAAGTCAAGAGCCAGCTGGGCATGTTGATACTCCCTTGTAATTCCAGCACTCAGGATTCTGAGGTATGAGGATTGAAATTTCAAGACCAGTCTGGGTTACATACTGAGTTTTGGGCCAATGTGGAATATATAAAAATCACAATGATGATGATGATGATGACGATGATGACAATGATGATGGTGCTAAGTGGGGTAGAGCTCAGTGGTAGAGTTCATGGAGCTCTGGGCTTAGTCCCTAGCATTGTGGAAAATAAAGTGAGAAGCTGGGCATAGCACTGGTGCATTCCTGTAATCCTAGTACTTGAGAGGTAAAGGCTGGAGGATTAGGAGTTCAAGGCCAGCCTGGGCTCCATTGGGAATTCAAGATTTGCTGCAGGCACATAGGATTTTTGTCTCAAAAAACCATAATAATAGTAGTAGTAGTAATAATGTCAGTAACATTTCCATGTTATTTTAACATTTTAATATGACTATATGTGCATAAGTAACATACATTTTTGGCATATGTAAAAATTTGCATATGTGACACCATGCTGTTCTTTCTGAATCTAAATTTGGAATCAAACTGCTTGGATTTCAATTAAGACTGCTAAGGATCTGTCTCTTTGCAGGGTGATGAAAATGTCTAAAATTATCCATGATAGTTTCACATTTCTCTGAATATACTAAATTCATTTCATAGGAGTAAATCATATAATATACATTTAATCACAAATTATTGTAAATAATTTGTAAAATATACTAATTATATATATCATATAATATACAAATTATACTTTAACAAAACTATTATCAAACAGATACAGGTTTTTAGAACCCCAGAGCCCACATAAAGGCTGGGTGTGCGTGGTGGCCCAGATGTAATTTCGGTCCCAGAAGGCAGAGATGCTATTCTCAGCATGCTAGCTAGTTTGACTTTCCATATCAGGGAGCTTCAGCTTTGATTGAAAGCTCCTGCTTCAGTGAATAACAGGAAGGGAAATCAAGGATAATTCCTACAACAACCTCAGGGCTTTGCAAGCATATGTACACATGTGTACCCTCCTCCCCAAATATGCATACATGCGAATAAATACACACACACACACACACACACACACACACACCACAGAAAAGGGAAAAATGGAAAATGATATGTGAAAAATCCTAGTTGTACAATGTATAAGTCATATGTCCTTGGGCTGAGTATTTGACCCTATGTTCTTGACTATAAAATAATATAATCGCACTATCTCTATAGCATGTTTGTTATGAGGAGTCAATGAGTAAAAGCACTTAGGACAAGGTGAGGGAGTAGGGTTGACATCACAGTGCTCAATAAACATAATGAACATAGCTGCTGTCTTGGTTAGGGTTTGTATTGCTGTGAGAGACACCATGACCATAGCAACTCTTTTTTAATTTTTTTTTATTAATTAAATTGAGCTATACATTTTTCTCTGCTCCACTCCCTTCCTCTCCCCTCCCCTTCAACCCTCTCCCATGGTCCCCATGCTCCCAATTTACTCAGGAGATCTTGTTTTTTTCTACTTCCCGTGTAGATTAGATCCATGTATGTCTCTCTTAGGGTCCTCATTGTTGTCTAGGTTCTCTGGGATTGTAAATTGTAGACTGGCTTTTCTTTACTTTATGTTTAAAAGCCACATATTATACATATTATAATTGTCTTTCTGGGTCTGTGTTACTTCACTCAATACAGCGTTTTCTAGATCCACCCATTTGCCTGCAAATTTCAAGATGTCATTTTTTTTCTGCTGTGTAGTACTCCATTGTGTAAATGTAACACATTTTCCTTATCTATTCTTCAGTTGAGGGGCATTTAGGTTGTTTCCAGGTTCTGGCTATGACAACAATGCTACTATGAACATAGTTGAGCACATGTCCTTGTGGTACTGCTGAGCATCCTTTGGATATATACCCAAAAGTGGTATTGCTGGGTCTTGAGGAAGGTTGTTTCCTAATTTTCTGAGAAATTGCCATACTGGTATCCAAAGGGGTTGTACCAGCTTGCATTCCCACCAGCAATGCAGAAATGTTCCCTTTTCCCCTACAACCTCTCCAGCATAAGTTGTCATCAGTGTTTTTGATCTTGGCCATTCTTATAGGTGTAAGATGGAATCTCAGAGTTATTCTGATTTGCATTTCTCTGATGACTAAGGATGTTGAACATTTCCTTAAGTGTTTTTCAGCCATTTTAGATTCCTCTGTTGAGAGTTCTCTGTTTAGGTCTGTACTCCATTTTTTTTAATTGGATTATTTGTTCCATTGATGACCAGTTATTTGAGTTCTTTGTGTATTTTGGAATCAGCCCTCTGTTTGATGTGGAGTTAGTGAAGATCTTTTCCCATTCTGTAGGTTGTCGTTTTGTCTTGTTGACCGTGTCCTTTGCTTTACAGAAGCTTTTCAGTCTCATGAGGTCCCATTTTTTAATTGTTTCTCTCAGTGTCTGTGCTTCTGGGGTTATATTTAGGAAGTGGTTCCTTGCGCCAATGTGTTCAAGTGTACTTCCCACTTTCTCTTCTATGAGGTTCAGTGTGGCTGACTTTCTGTTGAGGTCTTTGATCCATTTGGACTTGACTTTTGTGCATGGTGATAGATATGGATCTACTTTAATTCTTCTACATGTTGACATCCAGATATGCCAGCACCATGTGTTGAATATGCTCTTTTTTCCGCTTGATATTTTTTTGCTTCTTTGTCAAAAATAGGGTGTTCGTAGGTGTGTGGATTGATATCCGGGTCTTCTATTCGGTTCCATTGGTCCTCCTGTCTATTCTTATGCCAATATCAGGCTGTTTTCAGTACTGTAGCTCTGTAGTAGAGTTTGAAGTCAGGGATTGTGATGCCTCCAGCAGTTCTTTTACTGTACAGAAAATTGAGTACTGTTCTTTTGAGGTCTGTGAAGAATTTTCCACAGCAACTCTTATAGAGAAAAACATTTAATTGGGTAGCTTATAGTTTCGGAGGTTCAGTCCATTATCATCATGGTGAGACATGGCTGCATACATGCAGACGTGGTGCTCGAGCAGGAGCTGAGAGTCCTACATCTTGATCCACAGGCAACAGGAAGTGAACTGAGTGTCACACTGCGCAAAGCTTCAGCAAAGGAGACCTCAGAGCCCACCCCTACAGGGACACACTTCTTCCAACAAGACCACACCTACTCCAACAAAGCCACACCAAATCATGCCACTCCCTATGACCTTATGTGGCCAATTATATTCAAACCACAGTTGCATTGGGTTTTAGGGTTTTCCCTGTACTGATTCAACGTCCCTAATGATATATCCAGACTCGATACCTCTAATTGCCCAGTAATATTCATTTACATTCATGGTCTTTGTCCCTTCTGTGACGGACATTGTTTTGGTTTCTTTTTCTGCTGTGATAAAATACTCAACGAAAACGACTTAAGTGTGAAAGAGTTTTTTTTTCTGGCTCACAGTTTTGAGGTAGAGTCCATCACGGCAGTGACATCATAACAGCAGGAGGCTGAGATTGTTTGGTCACCTGCATCCACAACCGAGAAGCAAAGAACAGGTCCAGTGAGATGGCTCAGTGTAAAGGAGCAGCTGGTAGGCAAGCCTCAGCCTGAGCTCAAGGCCCAGGATTCACACGGTAAAAGGGAGAACCAACTCAGAGAGAACTGACTCCCCCAAACTGTCCTCTGACATGCTCTCTGGGGTGTATGCTCACATGTATATAGGCATGTGAACACACACATGAGGCCCCGGTTTCAATCCTGGGCACTGAGAGAAATAAAAGAATGAGCTGCAGCAGAGCGCAATGAATACCTGGACTCAGCTCACTTCTTCTTGTCCTACAATCCAGCAGTCCAGCCCAGAGAAAATGGTGCCGCTCACAGACTCCTGACATGATGAATCTATTTAATCCCTGAAGGACAGTCTCAGAGGCTAACTTTAACCCAGACAATCCCTTGCAGGTGTACCTGGAGGTATAACTCTGAGATGATTCTAGATCCCATCAAATTGACAACGTTAATCATCACAGATATTGGCCCTTAAAATTTTTTTATTATAATGTGAACAATAAATATTGTTACTAAACACCATTAACCTTTAGGCACCTGTATTTTTCTTTTCTTTTCTCTTTCTTTCTTTCTTTCTTTCTTTTTTTTTTTTTTTTTTTGAGACAGGGTTTCTCTGTAGCTTTGGACCCTGTCCTGGAACTCACTCTGCTCACTCTGTAGACCAGGCTGGCCTTGAACTCACAGAGATCCACTTGCCTCTGCCTCCTGAGTGTTGGGATTATAGACGTGTGCCACCACCACCTGGCATGGGCACCTGTATTTGTGGGGTATGTTCTGAGACAAGCTCTCTTGTAGCTGACTATGACCTACCTCCATCTCTGATGTGTTGGGATTATGGGCATGTGCCACCATGGCTGGGGTGATATCGTAATGTATCACCTAACTGAATTTGGAGACAGATAACATGAGTCCCACGAAATTCATATATCTGGAGACAAAGATTCAATAACAGATACAGAGATGGAGGAATCAGTAAAATAGAAAAGTCCCCAGAGGAGTGTGTTGTCATGGAAACAAAGAGAGAAACATGCTTTATCAATTTTGCAGCAACCTCATGAAGGTTCAGTTACACTGATGTGCTGTGACTGCTCTACTGTTTTTCCTTCGTTGCTTGTATATTAAAAACCACACTTTGGGGACAAGTGAGATCACTCAGTCAATAATGGCTCTTGCTGAACAAACCTAACAAGATGAGTTTGATTTCAAGTATCATGGTGGGAAGAGAAACTAGACTAAACAAAATCATTTCTGACCTCCGCATGTTTTCTGCGGCACTCCGACCCCCCCACCACGTACATCATGCACGGTCACAAAAATAATAAGAAAATAGATTGGAGCTGGAGGGATGGCTCAGTGGTTAAGAAACGCTGACTACTCTTTCAGAGGACCTGAGTTTGGTTTTGGGCATCCACATGGCAGCTCATAACCATCTGTAACCCCATGTCCAGAAGGACGCAATGCTTTCTTCTGACCTCTGTAAGAACCTGGTATGCGGGGCTGGAGAGATGGCTCAGAGGTTAAGAGCATTGTCTGCTCTTCCAAAGGTCCTGACTTCAATTCCCAGCAACCACGTGATGGCTCACAACATTAATCATCACAGATATTGGCCCTCAAAATTTTTTTATTATAATACGAACAATAAATATTGTTACTAAACACCATTAACCCTTGGGCACCTGTATTTTCTTTCTTTCTTTCTTTCTTTCTTTCTTTCTTTCTTTTTTTCTTTCTTTCTTTCTTTCTTTCTTTTTTCTTTCTTTCTTTTTTCTGTAATGGGATCTCCTCTTCTGGCGTGCAGGCATTCACACAGATAGAATATTGTATACATAATAAATGAATAAATAAATATTTAAAAAAAGAACCTGGCATGCAAACGATGCATAGACATACACGCAGGCAAAACACTCATACACATGATAAAAACTGAAAAAGAACTACACTTTGATGAATTTCCTCACAGATCTATCTTAGCCTGCCAGCCTGATTTCTCCTGTAGCTAGACCCCTGTTCACAGGAGAAACTGAAACTCTGAGGAGCTTGTAGTGTGAGTTGCATCTTCTAGAGACCCTGCTTTGGTTTGCACGCTCGCTTGAAAGAGTTAACCTTTTACTAATGCTGGACATGTCTACTGATGGCGAAGAGCTAGCATGGGCCAGATATTGCGCACCACACCAACATTTTCAAATTTGAAAAGGGGCAAATTTTCCTCAGTGCTGGGGTTGGAGCACAGTACTTTTTTTGTACATGCCTGGCAAGGGCTCTACTGCTGAGATCTACAGGCCTGCCTCACATCCATAACAACGTGTGTGTGTATGTTTGACATGTACACACACGCTCATTCATCAAAGGAGTTGCCTATAGAGGCTAGAAGCTGATGTTGCAATGTCTCCTTTAATCAAACTCCATCTTATTCTTTGAGACAGGGTTTCTCACTGAATCTCGAGCTTGCCTTTTCAGCTAGATTGGCAGGCCAGCTATTCTCCAGGATCTTCCTGTCTTCTTTTCATCCCCACAGCATTGGAGTCAGAGTCACTGTCATAACTAACTTCGTCTGTAAACCTGAACAAACTTAGAGTCACCTGGGAAGAGGAACCACAACTGAAACATTTCTTAGATCAGATCACTCTCTGGCCACATCTGTAAGGTATATATACATATATGTATACACACACACACACACATATATATATATACATACATACATACACATATATGTATATACACACACATACATACCTGAGCTGTATAAAAATGGTAGCTGAAGCTGCCCATGGTGGCATATGCCTTTACCATTACTCCAGGGGCAGAAAAGGCAAGCTCGCTGAATATTTTTGTGTCAACTTGACACAAGCTGAAGTCATCTCAGAGAAGGGAACCTCATTTAAAAAAATGCCTCCATAAAACCAGGCTCTAGGCAGGCCTGCAGGGCATTTTCTTATTAGTGGTTAATGGGGAGAGTCCAGCCCATTGTTGGTGGTGCCATCTCTAGGCTGCTGGTCCTGGGTTCTATAAGAAAGCAAGCTGGGTGGTGGTGGTGCCCACCTTTAATTCCAGCACTCAGGAGACAGAGGCAGGCAGATTTCTGTGAGTTCGAGGCTAGCCTGGTCTACAGAGTAAGTTCCAAGGCAGCTATGACTGTTACACAGAGAAACACCATCTCAAAAACCAAAAAAAGAAAAAAAAAAAAAAGGACAGAAAAAGCAAACTGAGTAAGCCACGAGGAACAAGCCAATAAACAGCATGACCTCTGCGTCAGCTTCTGCCTCCAGGTTCCTTTCCTGTGTGAGTTTCTGTCCCAACTTCCTTCAGTGATGAACAGTGATATGGAAGTGTAAGTCACATAAACCCTTTCGTCCCTAACTTGTTAAGGCAGGAGGCAAGACAAGGAGGCAAGCTAGCAAACAGCTTTTTTTAATGGTTTCTGATCATTGCCTAGGCTTCCCTTCAGGATGGACTGAAACCTGTAAGAAAATTAACCCCTTCCTCTCCAAGTTGCTGTGTTTATCACAGAACAGAGAAGTGACCCGTATGTCTGGCTGGTGCTGGTACAGTGCTGAGGATCTGAACTCAGGTCTTCAAGTTTGCACACAAGCACGTTACCCCCGGGCCATCTCACCAGACTCTATACCAATGGTTTTTGTTTGTTTTTTTCCTACAGATCGTATCATTGTATGGATATTCATAATTTAGTTATTCAAATATATTGTCCTTTTAAGTAAAAAAAAAAATTGAGACAGTGTCGTGTAGGCCAGTTTGCTCTCTAAACTTACTATGTAGCCCAGGATGGCCTTGAACTCCTTATCTTCCTGGTTCCCCTCTCAGATCCTGAGGTCACAGGCCTGTAACGTGTGATAGCTTAACCTTTTACTTGGGAAACATTACTGAAAGGGGAATTGCTGAGTTATAAGTAGGAAAAAAAAAAAGCTGTGGATACATTCAGCTAAATTACCCTCCAGGAAGGCTGTTCTTTTCCCCCACCTAGGAGAAGCTGTATGTATAGCACACAGTAGGACTCTGTATGGAACATACGTTAAAAGGAAAATGTCAGCTCTCCCATTTTTGCACACCACACTAAATTTGAGGTGCAAAATGAGATAATAATGCCAGCTGTATTATCTATCTTGGGAGCTCCTACGAGTTATTTTCAACAGCACTGCATTGGCCACCAAAGCAGGTATATTACCAGACGACAAAGATGATATACCTTAAAGATGTTTGTATGTTTGCACGTGGTATATTCACGTGTGCATGTTCATGAACATGTAAAGGTCATAGGTTGCCATCAGTTTTCCTATAGTACGTACCACCTTATTTCTCTTTACATTTGTATGTGCCCACAGAGGCCCACAGGGTTTCGATCCCCTGGAGCTGGAGTTACAGGTGGTATGAGCTGCTAGACATGGATGCTGGAAACCAAACTCGGGATCTCTGGAAGAACAAGTGCTCCCAATCACTGAGCCTTCTCCACCTTAGTTTGTTGAGACAGGGTCTCTCATTGAACCTGGATCTCCCTGATTAGGCTAGACTAGCTGGTCAGCAATCCCCCCAGGCTACACCTGTCTCTGCCCTTGACAAGTTCTGGTGTAACATGCATGGCTGTACCCAGTGGCTTCTGTGGGGGGCTGGGTTCTGAACTCAGGTCTTTGCGCTTGAGCAACAAGCAAACTTACCTCCTAAGAACCAGGGTGGATTTTTGAATCTGAACTTCAAGCCATGAGTCAGCTAGGGTGGTTGTGGTGGGAGTTCACAGGGAAGAAAAAAAAAAGCAAAACTCTGGTTTGATAACAATTGTAAAATTGTCTCAAAAGCAAGAAGAATTTCCTTGAGATTAGATTCTCTTTGGAGTCTGGCCAGCATTTCCCATTTTGCTATGGTCTGCAATGGATCAAAGTAAATTCAGCTCTAGTTGAGCCAGGTCATGTAGACGAGTTTATTTTCATTATTTAGTTCAGCCTGGCCTCAAACTCACTACCTACTAGACTTGCACTCTTGATCCTCTTGCCTCCACCTCTCCTCTCAAGTGTTCAAATGTAAGAATTCAAAGGATAAACCATTATGGTGGGTGTTATTTTCTTTTTAGATTATAAGTCATTGTATATACAATAGATTATCACTTCTAAAATTAGATTCTTTTAGGTGGCTGATTTCTCAAAATTAACCTACAAAGGTAGATGCTGGAGAGATGGTTTAGCAACTCCAGTCCCAGGGAATCCGATGTCCTCTTCTGGCCTCCACAGGCACCAGGCACACACGAAGACATAGTTAGTTTAGTAGGCCAAAATTGATTAAAAAAAAAAATACTGCTTCTCCTTCCCCCACCACTTTCCCGGTCTCTTCTCCCGCCCCCACCCCCCGGTTTCTTTCCTCTGTCCATTTACCTTGATCTTTTCTCAACAACTCTTTTTACCCTCTCTTGGTCTCCTTTCTAGTCTGTTAGGCTTTACCCACACTCCCACTTTATGTCCATTGCAGACTAGGAGGATCTGCACCTGAGTGAGAAATACGCGGTCTTTGTTTTTCCGAGTTTGGATCACATCGCTTACTATACTTTCTAGATCGAAGCTGCCAGCCTGAGATTTGAGAGCTTGGGGAATAACTTGGGAGGGTCAGAGGAGGACAAAGAACTGTCCACCTGAGTCAGGGAGTAAAGGCTTCCTGCACCGGTGCCGGGCCTCGCAAACCCACCCCTGCTTGTCACGCCCACTCGGGGCGCGCCCTCACTGGATCAGCCAATCGTGTCCTTTTCGTAAACCGGGGGCGGGGCAGGAATAACCCTCCCCTAACAGAGGTTCCCCGGTCTGGAGACGGGAACTTCCGTCTGTTCTAGGGTTCCTTCCGGCTCCGGGGAGGTAATCGCGGCGGACAGCGTCAGCAGAGAAGCAAAGGACGGCTGCCGTCCGCTCGCGGCGGCGATGGCGGGGGGTGGCGAGAGCGACGCAGACGACGACGCGGCGGGGGCGGTGGGTGCGCCCCCTGCCATCGACTTCCCCGCGGAGGTCTCGGACCCCAAGTATGATGGTGAGACGGGGATGGCTCGCGCAGTCCCAGGGCTCGCTGTCCTCCTGGGTTCCCCCGCGCTAGTGGTCCCCGAGAGCCACCTGAGGCCCCAGGTCGCCTCGGTGTTCGAACTCGGGCCCAGACCTGGAGGGTACCGGGAGGCTGCGGTCGGGCCGTCAAGGGTTAGGTCAATATTTATTCCAAGAGCGTCTACGATCTGCCCGCTTTTGTGGGCATTTATAGTCCTTGGCCACTGTCCAGAGGCCGCTTTGCACCTCCACGCCTTGACTTGTTTTTCTTCCCCGCTGATTGTAATCTTTGTTCATTGCTAGTGGGAGACCTGCTTTGCGGATAACTAATGATTTCTCCTAACGAGGCAGTGTGGGAACGCTTACATTTTTTTGAGGCTTTTAACTCGCGTAAATCAAATTATGTAACATAAGGTAAGCGGTCTTAAAAACATCCATGTAGGTCAAAGTTCTAGTATTCTGCGAAGAGTGCAAAGTTACCAGTTGCTTTGACAGTGTTAAAAATGAAGTTGTGCTCTCGATGGTGGATACATTGAGTCGTGTGCCACTTGCAATCCGAGCACTTAGAAGGTGAGGCTGGAGGATCAGGAGTTGAAGGCCAGCCTGAGCTTCCTGTTGAGTTCCAGGCCACATTGCAGTACCTAAGACCGTGTCTCTAAATAACAAAAAAGAGTGATTGAAGTGGAGCAGGGGCTGTTGCTCAGTGACAGAGGGGTGTTTTTACGAGGAGTGAGATTCTGGGTTTATCTTCCAGCATTGGAGGAGGTTTTAGCTGTATACTATCTCATAGAATAATTACAAAGATTTACATATTCGGTTGAAGCTTGAAATAAATATGTTGTAGTGGAGTTAAAGGTGTAAACCAAATGCAGGTTTAGGTTTCCCCATTTTCATTCTTAAATACTTCCTGTAATTGACCACAATGAGAAACGAAAACCGTGCTGGTGACTTGGGTAGGCTTTATAGAGGACAGTTTGTAAGGTACCTTTTTAAGGTTATGGAGATTTTCCCACACACCAAGTGGTATTTATTGTAACTCAGCAAAGAAAGCATATGTCACGGGACAGGCCCCAGCCGTAAACATGCAAGTCTGTCTTTTCTGTGACATGAGATAAGGCTTTCTGCAAACCAGAGATTATTCTGGAAGGGAGTGATCTTGGACACGCTTTAAAACTTTTTTTTCCCCTTCTTCTGTTAATAATATTGGGCTGCTTACATATTGTCATTTCTTCTAAAGAGGCTTAGAATTCCCAGACACAGTTAATTTTTTTTTAATATATAAAGTTCTGTGGAACATGCAGTATCACCTTGAATAGCTGTAAGGCCTATTAAATGGCATTTCGAAGGTAGTCTGGATGATTTGAAAAGGTCCACTGCCAGTTAATGGGAGAGTCAGAAAATTCAAAACCTCCATGTAACTTTGGCAGTTCATTGTAGGAATTCTAGAGCCACCAACAGTCTTGGACCTAGTTACTTTAGGTGCTGTGTATGGGACAGAATGTGTTAATGAGACAGTTTTCCAAGTCGTTTTCTTTCAGGCGTCACTGGTTTTTCAAAAGTATTCTCCTGGATTAATCTTTCAAGCTGGTTTGCGCGCGGATACACACACACACACACACACACACACACACACTTTTTTAAAAAACTGGGGATTGAATGTAGGGTCTTGAACAAGCCAGTCAAGTGCTCGGCCACTGAGTTACTCTCCCAGCCAGCCCTCTGTCATTAAGTTGCCTATTGAATTCACTGCTGCCTGGTCTGGTTTTGAATTTGCCTTAGTCTCCCAAGAAGCTGGCCTTAAAGGACTGTACCACCAGGGTTGGCCCTTGTCTTATCGATGGGCTGTGTGGAGCATGTTTTCCTGAGATGAATCTGATTATCTCTTTCTTGTATGTTTACCGACATCCTGTTGGCAAATGTCTGGAACTCTTAATTCAGCTGCCCCTGCATCTGACTTCCTGCTACTTTTGAGAACTTGGAGTCATTTTCTGTGTTAGTTGTTTGCTCTTCTACTGGGGACTGAGACCAGGAAGTTGGAACTCCCCCCCCTCCAGTCTATCTGTTGTTTATTGGCCTTTTAAAACTTATTTTTAACTGCGTATATGTATGTGAATCTGTGCAGGTATGTGCATGTGCGTGCAGGTATGTGCATGTGCGTGCAGGTGCCTGCAGAGGCCAGAGGCATGGACTCCTCCTGGAGCCGGACTGACAAGCAGTTCCGAGTCTCCTGATGTGGGTGCTGGGAATCAAATCCTGTTTTCTTTTTAACTGCCAAGTCATCGTACTAGCCTGTATAGGCCTTTTAAAAGTTGTCTTTTTCTTAAATTATTTTTATAGTATTTTACTAGCATTAGGGTTTCATGTATCCTAAGCTAGCTTCTAACTTGCTATGCAGCCAAAGATAACCTTAAAAACTTTATGCCTCTCTTGCCTCTGCCTCCCCATTGCTGGAATCACAGGTACATAAGTGTGACTGTGTCTACTTTTATGTGGTGCTGGGGGCTGAACCCAGGGCTTCCTGTATGCTAGGCAAGCACTCTGTCAACTAAGCCAGAACCTCAGCCATTTCTTAAGTTCTTTGTGGATGTATTTTGTTTGGTTTTGTTTTTTAGTTTTTCAAGACAGGGTTGCTCTGTATGGATCTGGCCGTCCTGGAACTCACTCTGTAGACCAGGCTGACCTCGAACTCACAGAGATCCGCCTGCCTCTGCCTCCCAAGTGCTGGATTAAAGGCATACGCCACCACTGCCAGGCCTCTTAAGTTCTTAAAACTTGATTTGGTTATTATTTTTTTTCCATATTCAAAAGTAGAATTTTTATCTAGGCTGGTTGTGTAGCTCAAGCAGTAAGAGCACTTCATATCATGTTTGCAGCCCTAGAGTTAATCAGTCTTTCTCACCCCCCCCCCAATAAAAGACCTGAAAAATTAGACTTTCTCATTGCAGAAAAGAGGAAATAATAAGTATAAAGAAACCTGAAGGTCAGGGTGGCACTAACTAATCCAGCACTGAAGACAGAGACAGGACTGCTGTAAGTTTGAGGCCACCCTGGTCCTCCAGCTTTCAGCGTCAACTCAAATTCACCTCCAGAAAAATCTTACGCCTTTTTGTTGTTGTTGTTTATGTGTCTATATGTATGTGGTATGTATGGTTGTGTGCCTTCTTGTTCAATTGTGTGTGGACGCAAGTGTCTTCCTCGTCGCTTTCCACGCGTCACTGAAGTGTGCTCTCTCACAGAACCTGGAACTTGCAAATTTAGCTAGTCTAGCTAGCTGGTCCCCCTCAGCACTGGGATTGCAGGGGGTGTTGCTGAACTTGCTTGATTTATTGTGGGTGCTGGGGACCCAAACTCCGGACCTGATGCTTACACAGTAGGCACATTATCCACTGAGCCATCTCCCCAGCCCCAGGAAACCTTTCCTAACCTGACTCACCGCAATTACGCTTTGACTCTGTTATCTCCCTGGGGTTACTTCATTCTGTTGTCTTAATTAAAGCATGCTATTTTGTCATTACGGGACACACTTACCAGTATTGTTTTCCCCTTTTTTTATTTTTAGAGTCTGATGTCCCAGCAGAACTCCAAGTGTTGAAAGAGCCCCTCCAGCAGCCCACGTTCCCCTTCGTAGTGGCAAACCAGCTACTGCTCGTCTCCTTGCTGGAGCACTTGAGCCACGTACATGAGCCAAACCCGCTTCATTCAAAACAGGTGTTTAAATGTGAGTAAGACTACATGGGTATTGTTAAGTAAAGCTTGTAAAAAATTACTGCCTTTAATGCTGTGTTTCTGAGAAGCAGCTGGTGTATAAATTGTGGGTGCAAAATAAGTGTGAATGATTTCCCATTCCTTCAATTCATTTCAACTTTCCTTTGCGTAATTCCTTGTAAATGTACAATTGCATGTGATTCAATAAATTAAAAAAGTGGTTTTGCAGCAATAATATAATATTCATCTCATTCTTTAGCCTCAGATGCTGTGTATCAGAGGCTGACCTTGAACTCCTCCTCCCTCCACCTGCCAAGTACTGGAGTACCCACAGTGTGCTACCCACCTAATTTATATAGTGATTCAACCCAGGGCTTCTTGTATACAGGCAGAGAATCTACCACTAACCTCAGACACTGCCTCAGCCCCTGACTGGAGGATTGGAGGAGTTCCATACCACGTTCTTGAAAATGTTCAATTTTGTTTTTCCTGTTTAGGATATTTGCATTTTAGAAACGTGAGCTCCAAAGTTCACAGAATTATGTTATGGTTCCGGTTTTGTCTTATTGACCAAGACCAGCTTCTTTATCTTCAGCTGTAGATTCAGGCTCCTTTCTACTGAGAAATCCTTTCCAAGTCTTAGACATCCTCACTAAAGATAGATGTCTTTACATGGTCTTAGAAAGTGGCTTTGCCGGGCGGTGGTTTGCATACACCTTTAATCCCAGCACTCTGGAGGCAGAGGCAGGCGGATCTCTGAGTTCGAGGCCAGCCTGGTCTACAAGAGCTAGTTCAGGACAGACTCCAAAGCTACAGAGAAACCCTGTTTCGAAAAATAAACAACAACAACAAAAAAAAAAAAAAAACAAAAAAAACCCCCAAAACGGCATGTTTTAGTAGTTAAGGATATAATGTCATTTAA